CACCAGCAGAACTTCATGGAGGTTGGAGCCAATGAAGTAGGATGCAGCAGCCCTAAGGTACCTGGCCATTCAACGCAAAGCTATGAGCTCAGCAGACTCCAGATTTGAGACCCAAACCGCACCAGCGCAGCTTCAAGATGTTTCAGGAGCGACTTCTGACAAAAAAATGTGTGAACAGTGAAAACATACAACAAGAGATGCTGCCAATCACTTTTTGAAGCTTGTTGCTCTGTCAGGTGTTGATTTTCCCGACATGAGCCAAGCTACCAATGCCCGCGAAAGCGCCCAGGAAGCTACACCAAGTCTGTGTTCAAAGGTGGAGAAGCTGCAGGCAGTTGGCGCCCAGAAATTCATGAAATAGTTGGAAGATGCATTCCTCTGCCGCCTCTGATGGGCACCAGTACTGCGGATGGTCCGAACAAGGCACCTACTGCACCAAGGGAGTTGTGACGTTGATCAAGGCAGCTTGGTTGCTAGTTCCATGCTTCCACAGCGCACCAAGTTCCAGTCGCTCTGTTGTAGATTTCAAGTTCTGCTGAAATAGTATCTCCAAAAATGGAATGCACCCAAGGAGAGTGCCGCACTTGAAGATGTCTGTTCCCACAATTCCTGCTCGCCGAACATCCACATCATCTCGAGGCATAACGGCACACTGCGATGCCATCGATCACCGGTGCTACCTGTGGAATCGGAACCGGCACTGTGGTAGCGCGCCTCATCCAGCCACACACTTCTGAATATCGGACAATCGTCACTGCACGAACGCAGCAGTAAAGTAAAAAGTCCAACAGCTCCATCTCGGTTGAGACAGAACCAACACGTTTTGTCCGTGCACTCGATATTGAATCCAAGTCTTTGCATTCAGGCTTGGCATCATCACCAACTCGTCTCGAACACCGGCCGAGAACAGATCACGGACGGTAGGAATCACCTTGGCATCAGCTTGCTCTTCGACTGTTCAAGAGATCGGTATTGGTCAACCCAGATGAGAAGCAAGTGTGTCACATTTTTGGCTTTCAATCTTCAGCACCAGCATCCAATCGTCTTATTGACCACCTCATTCACTGACAGATGGCCACCTCCAAACCTGTTTTGGACGAAAACCTGCTGCGAGCCTTTCAAACGCCTTTACAGTGAAGGAAGTCACCCTTAAGCTTCCGCCTTGAAGCTTCCCTTTGAGAGTTCCCTTCGAAGACTCAACCGCCTGTCCGCCGCATTTGCGGGAAACAAGCAGCACTGGAAGCTTATTTTGGCCTCCTGCTGGCAAAACCTGTTTTGCGATGTAGGGCAGTGCTTCGCGTAACGGAAGGCATAGCATTGGAATTGTAACCCACAAACCAACTGCATCCTGAAGATGAAAGTGTCTGTGGTCTGTTCTTTCTAAATAAATCTGTTTTCTACAATTACTTTTTCGTGGCTGTGATGGCAGCGGAATGATCATGTTTGTCTTTACACGGCCACCGCCCGCTAAACATCCACATCAATGAAGTTGGCACAGAAAGCTCGACTGGAGTACACCCAGTGGCTTTGCTGGTATCTTGAGGAAAGGCTTTAAACCTGAGCGGATCGCAAGGTGTTTAAAGCACGAAGTTGCTCGCAGTCACATCCTGGCTCTTAACCCACAACTTAGGTTTGTTCGCGGCTTTGGAATCGGCCACTTCTCGCAATTGCTGCCACGCTTGCACAGTCATGATGGTTGCGTTCAGATGTGCATGTGCATCGCAATACGTGTGCGGAATCAGGCACCACTTAGCACCAACACCAAAAGAACAGAAAGCCGCACCTTCAAGGGGGCTTTGTCGCGGCTTCTCACACGAAGCCGCTGTATGGAAGGTTCTGCGTTCGGTTACGGCTTCCGTTTCCT